TGGTGGCCATCAGATTCACTATTTATTCTTTAAATATTTTCTACTTTGCTATCACTGGTGGCAAAGAAGAAACTGTGTGTTTTCCCAGAACTTCTAAATGTTTCTCCTCCTGATACAGGCTCACAAAGATGGATGCAGCGGTCCCGAATAAACTGTTGGATCTTGCTGTGCAGAGTCTACTGAGCAATGAGTCTGCAGCAATCCAAGCTCTGGAGGACATTCCAAGAGAGCTTTTTGTTCCGCTGTTCATTGCTGCCTTCAAGGGTGGGCATAGGAGTATATTGAGTGCAATGGTAAAAGTTTGGCCCTTTTACTGTCTCCATATTGGATCACTAAGTATTCAGGAGGCTCACCATGAACTCCTGAAAGCCATGATTGAGAATCTTCCAGTATGTCCTGCACAGAACTCCTCTCCTAGGTAAGGTTGTATAGTAGAGACATGATAAGATTCAGGAGGTTATGCCATGGCCTACTACTCTCCCCAGAAGTAGTAACTAGTGAATGCTGAAGATTTATGTGAGAGCATGTTGGCCTAACAAATATTGTTATGAAATCTACGTAATTGGGGAGGTACTGTTGATGGGTTTATGTAACAGATGTTATTACATAAAAGAAAAACAGGAGCTATAAGACTGGAAATTATTTAAGGTGTAAAAAGATGGGGAAAAGAAGGTTGAATTTTCATGGGAAAGAATTGTTGGAAGTTAGTATAAGGAACTCCAGCTATGGCTAAAAGGATTTGTTCTATTTTATTTCAAATTTGCATTTATTAATTTTTGTACTTTTTCACAATTTATTCATTATTTATCCCAATTGAAAACCCCTCTCTCAACTCCTCCTAGTCCCACCCTTCCTCCATCTTCCTCCTTATCACCAATTTGCAGCTCAATATCCATGCAGGAGGCAGAGTAAGGAAAGTAGGGGCTGCCTCTGTCATGAACTCAATTGCCTGCTCTTTGATCACAAGCCCCTGGCGATGCTGCCTTACCAGGCCACAGAGGAGGAGGATAAAGGGAGTCCTGATGAGACTGGATTTGTTCTTATATGTCATCATTGATTCTACTAGGTTTCATTACCATTTGCTATATCTCATATATTCTATCTGCTCTTTTCCCTACAGGAGACCTAAATTGAGAATCCTAGATTTGAGACAAGTCACCTACTCTAGAATCACATGCCCTGAAATCAGCTCCAAATCACCTTTATGTTTTCATTCTTGTGCTTATTCTGACCACTCTATCACTAAAATAGAAGGACATCTTCCATTAGGAAATTCAGGGCTTGAGACTCACTCACCCAGACCTGTGGAATTACTAGTGGATCTTTCCCTCGATGGGTGCTTAATGGAAAAGGAATTTTTGGATTTGCTTGTGGGTAAAGTTGAAGAGAGTTCAGGGTCTTTGCATGTGTGCTGTCGAGATCTGCAAGTTAATAAACTCTGTAACTACAAACGTACCCTGAAATTTCTTGATCTCAATTGTTTTGATCGGTTGTCAGTTGGTAAGGCTTCACTGAGCTATATCAACAGTATCCTGTCTCAGATGACCCACCTACAAAGCCTTAGTCTGTTTAAAGTCTCTTTTAGATCTCTGAATGGGAAAGTCTTTAAAATTTTCCTCAGTCACTTACAGCGTATGGAAAACCTCAAGGAACTCAACTTGGCTTCATTCTACCTTAAAAATCATCTGGAAAAAGTGCTCAGGTAATAGTTTGCAGTTGGTCCCTGGGTTTCCTCAGTAGCCTATTGAAACAGGAGAGAAAACCTTCTTGGGTATTCCTAAGCTCCTCACACCCTTTTATGCATTCCATTTCATCACTTCTGGGAATTTGAAACTGAAGAAAGACAGGAGTACACAAATTAAGCAGCCAGTAATGTACAGGTACTACAGCAAGTGAAGAAATACAAGGGAGAAAAACTTCTAGCCCTGCAGATATCAGGAGGAGGAGAACTGAGATAGGGGAATACATTTTTGTTATAGCACTGAAACACATGATAAGAGATGACCATAGCTCAAATGTTAGATCACTTTGATAATCTATACTCTCCAAGATACAGGCCATGATAGTAGAGATTTTTACTTGGTGACTTGCCAAAGGGAATTCTCAGTTGCCTGCTCTTTTACTCCTCCCCACTAAGAAGGTGAACTGAAATCTACAGTGGATAATATTAAAAGTGATAAGTGGGTTAATGTATATATATATATATATATATATATATATATATATATATATATATAT